TTCTTTAATAAAATTTTAAGTATTTTTATTGGCAAAATTATATACAAAGTACTTCGAATAACAAAAACCTTTACACGTACAATATTGCATGAATGCCTAGACCTTCCAGTCAGGCTGGTATGACACGAGTTACAGGTATCCTATCCCAACCAATCACAGAAGACAGTTAGCCATAACACAGAAAGAATTGCAAATTTTTACTGTTACTGGGATTTGAACTCTAAACCTGCCACTTGGGGGTTGACAACCTATCCACTTCACTAGGTTGCCACAACCTGTAAATAATGAATATCATACCATATAACTTATCATTTTAAAATATAGAAAAATTCTATTACTGATTTAACTATATATGTTCATTAAACCAAATTTTACAATAAATGAACACTATGTATAAAAAATTGAGATCAGAATTTACTTATTTTTATAACAATTTTCTGTAATAATACATATAAAAAATTGATTGGCCGATTTTGAAAAACTTTAAACTAAGCTAAAAATTAGCTTTAGTCGATTTTTTCATTATTGGCAGAATCACTTAATGAATGCAATAAATTTTCCTTATTATCAGCACTAATATTTCAAGTAATAAATTCTTTGAAGGTATTACTAATTATATAAAAAATTGCCAATTTTCAAATGACATCATGTTGTAGACAACAGATCTTTCCTTGTTGCCTCCTCTCATAGTAGTATCTCCAAAAAATAATCAGACCTATCAATAAATTCATTAAAAAACTTATAAATATAATTTAATGAATACTTATATTACCTGGTTATGATTTTTTTTTTCTATACTTGAAGTAGAAAAAATTTGTAATGAAAGACCTTCAGCTTTTAGCTGGCACATAAATAAAAGAATATGTTTTGCAAATACATGCATGTATGGTATAACATCTGCCTTCTGATAAAGCCCAAGATTTTGTGAAGAGTTTATAGAACCTTAAGATGAACAACAAAAAGCTCGAACTCAATTTTTTGCATCAACCTGATATTGGCAAATTTCTTGATCAGTAAGTTGTGATTGTCGTAAAATACTATATAATTGATAAAATTCATGCCATAGTTGTTCAATATGTTTTCCACACATGCCAAAAATAAATTGGGATACTGGAAATTTTTCTAACATTTTTTTTTTATCTGTACCCATTAACAAAGTCCAATTTCATTTACTATTTGTAGATTTAAAAAATTTGAATTGAATTGCTAAATTTTTAAATGTTGCTTCAATATTCGGTTTTATTTTTTTTTTAAATTCCTTTTTTTTAGTTAAATCATTAAAAAAGCATTTCATTAAAACATCTGAGATGCATAAAAGCAAATGCAGTTCATTGGGAATATAATTTTTTTTGATCTATAGCTGGAAATAAAACCAATTTTTTTGTGCCTAATAAAATATTTAAGTTTAAAAAATATACATATAACAATTATATAAAACTTATAAGTATCGTCAAAAATATATTTTAAATTTATTAACAAAAATATATTTAAATAATGATTATATAATATTACACTTAGAATTTTCAGAATTGGTTCAAACTTGGTTCATATTCTACCGAGACACAGCATTACAACTACAGTATAGACAAAAATAAGTTGCATTTAGAGCACTTAGTCCCATTATTGTATACATAAACTTTCAGTCGCCACAAAAGTATAATTCCACTGGTCATCGAATACTATCATGATCAAAAAACCCATTATTTTTGAGATCCAAAAGTTCATGTACAAATATATGTCCAACTTTCACTAATATTTCATATTTTTCCTGTCCAATATATAAGCAAATACTTAAAATAGATAATTAAAACTTAATAATTAAATAATAATAAATAGTTGAAGTTAATACATATGTAAAACTTACCAATATTGATGATCTGGCATTAGAACCTTTTTACCTTCATTTAAAAGGCAGATCGTCATAATTACATGGTTTTGCCTACAACCCACATTATGACTATCACCACCAAGTTTCAACTTAATTGTATCTCCTAGAATAAGAATAGGAGAAGATGATTGTTTCCAAATTGGAACAAGAATATTTAGAATAGATTTGATTGATCTAAAAGCACTATTTTGAATTTCTAATTGTTTATTGTTACTATATTCAAATGATATATTATTATTTAACTGATTGCTTACAACATTGTCAATGTTAAAAGTCCCAATTCCAACTTTTCTATTTATTAAGTTGATTATTTCAATTCTTCATGTCACAACTTAATGTTCTCGAACAAGTTGAGGTTCAATGGCAGCTAGACACCGATAGCCATCACAAAACAGCAAAGATTCATCACATGCTCTTATGATAGCATCTATCTTAGAAAATTCTTTTGCCTTATTAAATGGCTGGTAATTTAATTTAACGCTTTCATCATTAACGTCTAGTTGAATACTATGCACATGAGCAAGAGGTTTTTTATTTTCTGTAACTAATTGATGTTGCATAATTAATAATGATAGTGCTTTTCCAGATTCTCTTCCAAAAGCAGCAAATCGCTTATTTTGTCCTAATGTCGATTGTATAGTTGAAAAAGGTCTTTTTTTAACATTTTTCTTACAATTTTTAACCTTTGATTGTTTATCAGAATTTTCACTATTAGCAGACTTTTTATCATTAGAAATGCCTACTCCATTCTGGTAGCAATGTCCAATGCTTAATTGTTTATTGGAATTTCCACCCTTGGCAGATTTCAAGTGCCATTCAAATGTATTTTTCTTATCTTTAGAGACATCTGTGCCATTTCTATAACAACTTTCAATACTTAGTTGTTTATCAGAATTTTCATCCTTTGTGGATTCTTGGTAACACTTTTCAGTATTAGAATTTTCACTCTTGGTACACTTTTTGTCAGCCTTGTAAACTAAATTTAATTTAAACACTTGTTTTTCCTTTGGACTAAAATGCCTATCAAATATTACCAACTTAGTATAATGTTTATGACAGAGCTGGTCATATAAGCTAAGTACAACCTTTAAATTTAGAGCAGTTAGGCTTTGCAAAGCTTTATAAAAAAGGTTTGGTGTCAGTCTGCGAAACTTTTCTGCTAAGTCATTCTTGCCACATACTACACATGGTCCTGTATTTTTGCACAGTGAATCCTTTGGCATTGTTATTAGTAAAAGTTATGACTCTTCTGGGATCTAGAAAAATTATTGCGGAATTCCTGAAATTAAGGTCTTGTCGAATGTAAATATGAAATTTTAAACTATAGCATACTTAGAAAATAAGGTACAGATTTTTTTACGAAGCCCTATATTTACTATTGTGTTCAATAAATCAACCAATCAAATGTTGGTTTCACAATAATCATATTTTTTGTGATCGGAGTTAAATTTGACCATATGACTAAGAATTTTTAAGTGGGTTTCTGTCTCTTTAGCTTCTTAGCCTTCTATGCTTAGTGGTCTTATTATGGATTTGTACTGAAGCCTTATACAACATCAGTTTTTTACATTTCTTTATATATGTGTAATGTTATACTTCACATAGATGCCCTAAGCTTCCAATATCAGATGAGACCCAACTTGATATATCTAAGATTACAAATATCCAAAACCCAACTGATTAGCAAGAGACAGTTATCATAATATAGATATAATTTCCAAAATTCATCGTTTATAGGAATTGAACCTTAGACCTGTCACTTAAGAGTTGACAACTTATCTACTTCACTAGATCATCACACTCTTAGTTATTTCTATTTATATAGTTTATAATTTTTTAAAACCTAATTTAAGTTTATAATTATAACTCTCTAATATTTATAAATTTTAAGTTTTATATATTTTTGTTTTTCTTATTTATTATCTTTTTCTTTTTATTTCTTAATTTGTTTTTTTTTGATATTAAGATAATCTTTTCAGTTTTTTAACTTTATTAATAATTAGTCAAGTATTACAATAAGTATACAATTGGCTATATGTATAACTTTCTATATTATTTATTTAAGAAGTTCATCTAGAGGTTTTTTATTAATTGCTATACTTTATAATCTTTAAACTATTTTTATTTTCAAAGTAAGCCTATCAGAATGAACTGTATTTACTTTTTATTACTAATCTAATTTATTACTATAGTCAAAACTAACACTTATAATTAGAACTAATAATTAAACTACTTTGATTTTTGTAAAGTTTATATAAATTCTGATATTTATCTTTTTGATATTATCTTTATTTTTTCTTACTAATCACTACTTAGAACTAATAGAACTTTTCAGATTACTAATCTAGATAATTTAATATAATATACTTATATATCCTTTTTTCTCTAGTAATTTTGACAACCTGGTTAATACATGTGCTTTTTTTATATATCTTTTATTTGGTTTGTTTATTTTATTTTTTTTTGATATTAAGGTAACCTCTTTGGTCTTTTTGACTTTTATTAATCACTTATTGGTATTGTAGTTCAATGAACCACTACAGAAGAGTGTACAATTAGTTACATATGTAACTTTTCTATATTACCTATTTAAAAAGTCCACTCAAAGGTTTTCTACCAATTGCCATATCTAACACCACTGCTTGAATGTTCTACTTTAAACTTTCTGAATCTGTAATCTGTGTTAACATCACTGGTCATCTCAGATGCTTAGATCATCATCCTCAATCTTAGAACTAATTTATCTTCGAGGTAAACCCTCTAGAGCCTTCTGTACCCATTTTTACAGCTGACCTAGGTATCACTATAGCAGAACCAATACTTGTGATCAGAGCTAACTATTAAATTGCTATGCCCTTGTAGAGTTCACTTAGATTTCAGTATCTACTTCACAGTATAACCCTAGTACTTTAGTATACCTCTGCCTTTTTTCTGCCCTTTTATCAAACTCTCAATCCAGATAGCCTATATAGAACTATAACTAGTCTATCAATATATTAGGTCAGCCTGATATTCTTTTCCTCTGGTTCATTTCAGCAGCCTAGTTGGTAATACTTCTGAGACTTCCAATTCAGAGGTCCTTGCCTGTTTGACTACTAGGACTAGGTACTAGACCTTGGTATCCATTTTGTTGAGCTAGCTTTTACAGTAGAGCTGTCAAAAATTTAGTTACCTCTCTACTTGGATCTTTTAAAATGGACTTCTTGTTACCTAATTTCAACAGATTTATATAGCCACAAGAACTTATCTAGTGTTTGCACTACCTGATATGTTGGTTTGCATTCTTTTGTATAACTCCAATATTTCATAGATGCCTCATGATCTTCCAATCATGCTGGTGCGACTGTCATTACAGGTATCTTAATCCAATCATTAGTAACAGTTGCCATAATACAAATATTACATAGGTAATTATTCAAATTTTCATCATTGATAGGATTTAAATATCCAATCTACTACTTGGAGGGTTGACAACCTGACCACTTTACTAGGTTACCACACTCCTATTTGGTTTATTTATGAGCTTTTATTAGTCCAATAATATTATTAAAAGTTTGTATTATCTCTTTATTTAAGATTTCCAAATAGACTTTTATTTTTAGTTTCTTAGTAATGTTATACTTTATATAGATGCCTTAAGCTTCTAATATCAAATGGAATCTAACTTGATATATCTAAGATTATAAATATTTAAATCTAATTAATTGACAAAAAACAGTTATTGTAATACAAATATAATGTTTAAAATTCATCATTTATAAAAATTGAATATTAAATTTGCCACTTAAAGGTTAACAACTTATTTACTTTACTAGATTATTACACTTTTTATTATTTATCTCTATGCTACTATTTTGTTTTTTATATAAAATTTTTTTTGTTTTTTGTTTCTTTATGAAAAGATATTATCAGATTAGTAATGTTCTATTGTAGAGTAACAGTCAGATAAGTAGTCTATTCTAACTAAAATAATGTGCCAGGTCATATTTAAATATTATCTGAATAATCAAGTAATATTAAACTTATATATCAGAAAATTCTATATAATTTGTATAGTTTCAAAAATTCTAATAAAGTACTAATATAACTACTAAAGTTAAAAAAAAATAATAATAAATTTAAATATAAGAATTATTATATAGTAATATTTAATTTTTATGTTATAAGAAAAAAAGATTAAGTTATTTATAAACTACAAATAAACAAATTTAAAAAAATTTTTTAATTAAAAAAATGATTCATTAATTTTTAAACTCTTTAAATATTAATTTTAAATATAATTTTTAATACAAAATTGTAGCTTTTATTAATACAAGTTTTTTAATTTACTTATAAAAAATCTTGTATTAAAAACAAATTTTTTTTTTAGTTTCAAAAACATATAAATCTTAAAAAATTTAAAGAAATTTTTTATAATAAAAATTTTTAAACAAAATCTTTAAATTTTATTGCTCAAAAATTTCTTATAAAGTTTATAAAATACATATTTAATAATTATTTTATAAGTAAACTGTACCTTATATTATTAGTAATTTATTGTATTATTTAAAAAATACTAAAATAATTTAAACATATAGGCAAATTTGTCTAGAAAACAGTTTAAGAAATAACTGTAAGATAATGATTTAATATAACTTTCAGATCATGTATATCTAATACAACAAATTGTATATAATAATAAAATATTTTATAATTATAAACTTAATCTTTTATAACTTATTAAAAAATATTAATACAAAATTTAAACCAACAATTATTTCATTAACAGTCATTTCCCTGGCATAATTCACCAACATAATTTTACCAACGATAACCTTATTGACACTTGTTACATTCCAAGAAGTCGAACAGTATATTTGGTATAAATTTCTATGTAAAATTACAAACCAAATTATTTGATTATAGTAAAAAATTACACGTTACAAATCGAATCGTGTGACTGCTATAAAATGTTAATCCATCTATATAGTAATTTTGATGACTAAAAATGCTGAAGTTAAAGTAATGAAGTAATTTGACTATTTGCGAAATTGGTATTGAATGGATGAAATAAATTTCACCAGCATCTCTAATCTTGACATCAACAAACAGCATAATTCATAACCAATCAATGATATAGTCTAGTAGAGATTAAATTATTTATTAATTTTAATTACATAGAACCATCAAACAAACGATTTACTGTACTCTCCAGCGTTGCCGAATCGTATCTTATATATTTTGTTGGGTTTTTTGAGAATTCTGATTGTTGATGTCTGCAAAAGAAATTAAAAATATATTAACTTAAAAACTCAATCAATATAAAATAATGTCTTGAGCTATTGAGTACTGGAGGAAACGAAGTTTCCGCCTGTACACATAAGGCACAGGATATAATTAATCAAGGCCCGTGATCTTAATGTTTGAATCTTAAAAGAATGACATTCTTACTTTTCCAAAAAACGATTGTACATAGGTATCAAAACAGCTCTAATATCTCTTATAACTTGGCTACGTAGTTCAATATCGGGCATCGCATACCCTTTGTGAACTTTGTAAAGTTCATCAAATTCTGTATTGAAGTTCTAGTTAAATAAAACATTAAAAGGCATTAAATTAATAGTTATTAAATAGAAAAGCGCAATTTAAAATAATTTTACAGTACCTTAAATTTTTCTTTGACAGTTTGTTTTTCATTTGAGCCTAATGTGGTCTTTAAAGCACCACCGCGGACCCATGTATAATCCATAAGATTAGAGAAACATGTTTTCCATCTGTATTCAAAATCTATTAGAACAAGTTTTATTATACTACAAATTATCATGTAGGAAAATAACGCACGTATCCTGATATGCATCGTTCCACTTTTTTCACCATTTTATCAAATTTGGACTCAACCTCTGGATCCAGAACTGACATAAATTGAGTTCTTATAGCTTTTAATATGTAATAATAATTATTTAGCAAAAAGATAGCAGTTAACGCAGGCTTTTTATATGTTTTTGCTTTACTATCAAGGCTTTGTGCTAAACAATCCAAAAAATCAGCTACATAAACATGATTGAAGCTTGATTAATAAACTAGTACATAATTAACGATATAAAAATTAATAAATATAATTTTGAAAATACCGAAATAATGCTTCATGACTGCATTTCCTGGAATTCTCCCGTTCCTATCTCGAGAGAAATTAGGATCTTTCTCTGAAGCATTCCAATTACCATCACCTAATGTTACCAAAGTTGATTCAATAGTTTCTGGATAATCAGTTAGTCGTTTCAAGTGTTGTAAAGTCTAAAGAGAACCGGTTATGAAATGTTATGAAATATTATGAAATATCGACACTAATCATATTCAATATGCAAAATCAGAAACTTAAAATACATACTGTAATTGTCAGTTCATGTATAGTACCATCGTTTGGAAGGCCCGATGTTTTCGTGGGATGGCTCTAATGGACGAAAAAAAGTCAACATAAACAATATAGAGCAAAAATTTTACTATATGTTTATTTACCTTAATTTCATCCAAGAACTCTGGAAAAGAACGTATAGCAACTGCTCGCAATGAATGAAGCAAGTCACCGAATGCAGAATCTTTTCTACCAGCTAGCTTTTTTCAAAAAAAAACAAAAAAATTAAAAAACAAGAATAAAAGGAGGACTTAATGTTATTTATAAAACTCAATAGTTACTTTGAATATTTCTTCAAAGGTACTCATATTCAGATTCAATGTTTCCATCATATCAAGAGCCAGATATATGTCAGTTTGCATATTCTTTTTTACACGAATATTCAATGCTTTTCCTATCTCCACAAAATTATCGATTGATGGTTGTATAGTATCTCTGAAACTACTCGAAACATATTCTAATGGAAGTATTTTTTTTGCAACTCCATATTCTGTCTAAAAATAAATAAATAAATAAAAAATAAACAAATAAATAAATAAATAAATAAATTTGATTATAATTAAAATAAAATATAAATGGCATATAAAAGTAATACCATAAACATCATTAATACAGCCTCAGTGTATGAGTTGAAGCCACATGTACCCTTTTCGTATACTGGGGTACTTCTCTTTTCAGCAGTGCTGATTGAAGCCTGAGCCAACATTGTTAATGATTTCACTAGATAATTTGATCTAACATCAATATATACTTTAGCGAATTCGCTTGTATAACCTAGTTCTGGACCCGCTGTTGCAAGGTAAGAAGATAATGTCGCAAGGTTTTTTTGAAGCTGAATTTGGTATTCCAGGTATTTCCAATTCTATCGGGCAAAAATATATATAGTGTGACATATTTGTTGAAATCCACATTTACATGTTTGCATTTAAACCTTACTCTTTGTTAGAAAAGAAAGTGGCTCAATGGAGTTACTTCGTTCTGTTAACCAAAGTCGAAAAAGATCCTCTAATTGCAACATTGCGGCTTTTAATATTTGTTTCTACAATGATGTGCAAGAATCTGGTTAACACAGGAAAAAAAATAATATATGTATATATTAAAAATAAACAATTTTAATTTGTACCAACTGTCCAATAATTTTTTCACTACTTTTTAAACTCATTGCACCCAAAACTTCCATGGCTTTATTACATTTGCCGATAGAATTTAAGTAAGAATCCAAATCATTTCCATCTGGCCTGATAAAACAAATTCCATTAGAAACGTTTAAAATTTAAAAGAAAATAAAAACAAAAAGTATATTCACCCTTTTTTTATAATCACCTCTTCTCGTTCAACCAAGTCAAAATATCCAATGATCTCAACCACGGCATTACGTGTTTTGTCAATATCTATATATATGAATAATCGATGTAGGAGACAAACATGATACGGAAGGATAAATATAATTTAAAACTGAATTAAGGATACTGTCCACCAATTTAGTTAATGTCTGAGTCGACTTGTGGATCGGCAATATTGAAGCTTCCAATCTTACTAATCGATCATCAAACACGTTCAGCATGCTAGTCTATGGCAAAAAATAATATGCATAAAATGGTAAAAATATGCACTTACAAATGTCTGCTCGCGCCAATCGAAAAAAAACTAGTCGTCTAATATTCTTCTGACATACACACGAATAACAGCTAATGTTCAAACAACAAAAATAAGTAAAAAACGGACCATTTTTTCTGTTAAATCTTCGGTTTGTTCTAAATTTTCTTCTAAAAAATCCAAATCGGCACTGTCTTCGTCAAGTCTTTCCATTTTTCAAAAAGAATAAGTATAGAAACAGAATTCTAAGCAGAATTAAGTCCGCGAGAAATCGGATTTGTGTATGCGTTATCTGTTATGGATTGTTAGGATCCGTTTATGTTGATTACATGAACTGTTTCAGACGTTTTTTTAATTGGCTAAAAAATGGTAATTCGTTATACAGAATAAATTTTTTATCATCTAGATGACTTCCTTTTGCATTTTAAAAAAGATTTCTTTGATTTGATTGGCTATTCATCTTTAAATACCAAATTGAAAACGTTACGTAATAGAAAAGTTGGCCAAAACTTTTGAGGCAACTAATCGTTGAATGACGGAAAAGGAAAACCTGTAAATCATGTTTTAAGATTTCAATATAGTATCATCCAAATCGTTCAAATCGTCTCATTAAGGCGGTTCAAATGATACGCATTATTGTTAAGTTAGTTGATTTTATTACGTAAAGTAAACCTTTAAAAAGCATGATTTCCTTTCCGCTATACAGTATTCATTATACAGTCGTCCCTCATAATTTATGTATTAAAAATTTCCTCATATATATGACTTTAATCCCTCATTAATATCACTATCAACATGAATTTAAACCAATCCAAATAGGTTGATATTGATGTAATATGTATTAATGAGGGATGACTGTACCTATATAACGGAATATTTCGTAGCGATAGCATTAGTAAAATCGCACTCATAGAACTGCGCTTTGATTGGTCGTCAGCAGGCGTAAATTCACTTATGAGTTAGTACGTATGATCTTTACAATCGAATCCGTTATAATGTGACTGTTTTAGCTTCTTATTAAAAACTATTAAATTGGTAAGGGTGTCCATTATACATATCTATAGTTGACTGTATTTAATAAACAATTAACCAATCAAATTAGCAACCAATATCGATATGACCATCATAGTCTTAATGAACGTTATTATAGTAATATATATGTAGTAAAATTATAATACGTACCATTTTTTTTACTAGCACTAACATTTAATATGACCAACATGACTACTGTATAACCAAAAAGCCATATGAATATGACTAAGGTCATACATATTAAAAAAAATGTCATTTATGACATTGGCCAACTGATAATGCAACTTCTAAAGCTAATCCGGATTTTTGAATAACGAAAGACCGGTGGCAATCACTTCACCGGCAGTTTTTAAGTAAGCATATTATATAATAAATATATATAAATATGAATTACGTTATACGCATGATGGGTTAGGTTAGATGATTTGTAGAACAAGATCACATGATTCTCATCTGTACTATAAAAAAATTTTTTACCTCGTTATATGTTATCGCAGTACAGTATTTCTTAATACAGTATATAATAATAAATCGAAATGTAGATAATCGGTCGCGTACCATTTTGGTTAGTTGATCGTCTATTATCCCCGCGCTGCTGCGTATATACGTATGCACGTTAGATTGTTAAAAAGTTCACCAGAATCGGTCCCTTAAGTATTAAACCCCTTGACTTCAGGTTTGAATCTATACTCAATTTTTTTAAGAATAAGCCAGGACTGTCCATTTAATATTCCTAATCATTATGCATGAGTCAAACTTCGGATCGACTTCTGATCGACTGACTTGACTTTTGGAGCTATGTCGGACCGGACAGGTCTTTACATCTCTAGACGTACGTACGTACGTGCACATGCAAGGACTTTTTCTATAACATCCTCAAATTTTCGAGTTAGAAACTATCGTCGATCCATCCCCGAGATCACTCAAAATTTATTAATCAAGTTATAGTCCATTTATTAAAGCTATAAATATACTCTACCGGTATTATTAATGTCAGTAAAACAATCAGAATACTAACCTGAGGATCACCCAAAATAATCTATCTAAATTTTTTTTAAAAAATATGCTCGAAAGTTGGCTCAAAAGTAGATACTCAAATATTGATTCCGTTTATTTCGGCACGTGACACGTCAATCCGTGATCTTCCGTCAAAGTGAGAATGTCCATTACCGGCAATATTGCTGATCACAGGTGTACACAAACACAATGCTTTTGCATAAAAATTGTTAAAACGGTTTATATGTATCTAGATTTCGGTTTACAAAAAACGAAAAGTATGGCACGACCTCAAATCCCGCCCCTTTGCCTTAAACATATTCTGCTCCATTTAGAAGCAGAGGATGTAGCACGGTGTGCGCAAGTGTCAAGGCAATGGAAAGACGCTTCTTACTCGGATTCACTATGGAAAAGGTTTTGTGACCAAAGGTGCACGTCTAGGTTTACTTTGGCGGGTCAGGGTCCGGCCAACTGTTGTTGACATTATTTTTTTTCCTTTATTGGCTGGACTTTTTCTTTGAATTTATGTAGGTGGAAATACTGGAGGTCAAAGCCCACAAGAACTGATGGGTGGAGACAGGTTTTCCTTGTTCGAATGACAACTGATCGCTGGGCATTCGGGATTTTGGACGAATTAGCACAGGGTGGTCCATTTTATCTGGCAAATATGAAAAAACTTAAACAGTTAGGCGATAATTGCAAAGATGTGCTATTTTGGGTAATGGATAATCCGAATGAGGTTATGTTCGATTCATATTATATGTGATTTATAATTTATTCATCCCTTTTTTAAATACTTTATTCTTAATTATTTAATTTCCTGTATTATTAATCTAATTACTTTAGGTAACTCTTACTCATTGTTACTTTGCAAAACGAGCTCTCCAGTACATTCGTAGAAGTGAAATTATCCAGAAATGGAAATCATGGCGTGAATATAAATTAGAAATTTCTAATCTGGAAGGTTTCGCAATGATGGCGGCCTTTTTTAACGAAAAAATCGATGTGATCGATATATTACGTGAATTTGACGAATTGGCTCATGAATTTAATTTATTATGTCAAAATAATCCACCTGAATCTCAATTGACCAAGTTTCGACTCCTTGCAAATTTCTTTTGCTCAAAATATCCTTCTACTGCTTCTGTTCTTGACATCGAAACTAAATTTTTATATTTAGTTATGCCACTTTTAGAAACTAAACAAAGCAAGGCATGCGTAATGACTGTTTTATTTGAAGCCTTAGCTGAAAAGGTTGGAATTGATAACGTGGACATTGTTTCTGATCGTGAAAGGTTAACGTTTCGGAGGTATCATTTTATTAGATTTTGTGACGAAAGTACATCTAATATAACAAAAATGGATCAAGACAAGAAAAGTGATGATGACGAAGATGATGAAGAATCTGATATATATCATATCGATTTTCAAAAACATTCAGAAACTGGTGTACTTACAATTGAACAATTTGATAAACATAGTTCGAAGTATTATGGTGCATATACACCAGAGTATAAATTCATCCCGCAAAAAAAACTGTTTCGATTATTCTTACAAGACTATTGGCTTGCTCTAACTGCTATTCGTGGCTACAATCGTGATGTAATATATGGTATAGCTCTTCAGCTTCATTTCGTAAGATCACCAGAGTACCTAGATTGCACTCTTGGTGATTTATGTAAGCTTATGAGTTTTTGGTGGTCGTTTGTCGCAGCAAGATATGGATACTCGGAGGATTACGAACTTGGCCGAATAGCATTAGTAGACATAGAAAATTATTTAGCTGCGGGTACAGAAGTAGAACAAGAGATGTGGCAAGAATTGATTGAAGATGTGAAAGCTGACATCGAAGGATTGGAAGAGGATGATCGTATTGATTGGGATTTTGAGTCCGGTCAGTCAATTCGAGGTCAAATAGGAAAAAAAGATCCTAAATTTTACATTGGTGACGTGGTTAATTTCAAAAAATTCCATAGCCTTGGTGTGATTTGTCGTTGGGATAGAGGTAAGATTTATATTATTTATTTTTAGCTAGTATCCAAATTTCACATTACATTTGTTTATTTGATTCAATTTACGTAGCTTATAATAGAGAGATAGCAGAAAATGCGATCAAATTTGTCTGGACGGTAATGTTTAATATTACATAGTTCATTGTTCTCCCGAATTCGTACGATTATATTAAAGCTTACTTTTAATTATTCAGGATATAGAATCTCCTCGCGAAGAACCTTTTTACGAAGTTCTTACTCATCGAGGTTCGTTTATATATTGTGGTCAGAGAACCCTAATGCTTGAGCCGGATAATTCTGAGCGGCTATTAAGAATGGTTCCTAGTAATGTCTACGGAGACCATTTAGGCGACGAGGCCGACTGGAAATTGGCTAAAGCACTTGGTCCTGTAACTACCGAGTTAGTTGGTTGCTATTTTGAATGTTGGGATCCGGAAAATCGTAAATATATTCCCAACGAATTAAGTAGAAAATGGTACCCGGATGGATAATTGTTATAATAAAGGTGATTTCCCGATAAATGATTATTATCAGAAGTTTGATGATTTTTATACATTCGCATACTAAGGTTATTGATTTTTCATCTACTTTTAACAGTTTTTTTTTTACCTTTTTCTTACCAAATCGATTATTCAAATATTAACGGCACGTATATATTCGTCGATGATTTTTCGAATTAACCCTGTGGATTCGTATATTATCAATGAAGACAAACATTTTGAAATCCTCGAAATATATATTTATTGTTATTGTTTGATTCATTATAATTCATCTGTAGGAGTTTTTTTTTCACTATATAAAAAAAGTGGTGGTGGGGTGGTAATCAAAAAGTTTATGCCAAATTTCTTCCATTCGTGTTAAACATATTTATACATAAACTCCCTTTTTAGATTTTTCATTTTTTTTCGTTTACTTTATTTTAAAAATTTGGATTTTTATCGACTCGATTCGTATAGTTCGAACTTTAAACCTTCGAAATTTTTATGACATACATTGAAAAATTCACCGATAAGAATTTTTTTTTTTTAAAAAAAAAAAAAAAAAGAAAAAATCATTTTTTGTAAATATTTTCTCTAAAATTTTTGTATCAAATTTTTTTTTTTAGTAAAAACATTTAACATATAAATTTTAAGAAAAAAAAGAATTGACCGTTAAAAATAATAAATTCCAATTTTTCTATGTAAGGTTACCCGACTATCTAATGCTAGTGTTAATCAAAGTATGTAAAAAAAGATACTGCAATGTATACTGCATTACGTTAATAAAGATTCCCGGTATTCATATTACTTGTATAATCAATTTTGGCCATTAGATATATAGCTTGATCAACGATTAGGCTTTTGAAAAGTAGTCCTGTAAAAATATTGTTACCAAATTCTTTAAACGTTTATTTTCAAATTGGGCCAAGTGTTCTAGGCGTTTTTTAACAGATTCGGACAAAATATCTATATAAGAATATGTAAAATTTTAAACTTGAATTGAATTTAACAAGCACACGAACATGATTACCTTCATTTTCATCACTATCTGTTAAAAGAAACATCAGGGTTGTGATCGAAGAAAGTATTATCTCCTCATTTTTATCATATAAACATTGAATTATTAACGGAACACCCTCATTATTTATTATATATTCTTTATTTCTTTTCTCTAAAAGAGATTCGACGATTAGTATTTTTAAACCATCAAAACCGATAAAAAATAAAATGAAAAAGCGATGAACGAACAAGACCTAAACACAAATTACACAATCCTCCTAAACCGAATTCCTTCAACTTTTCATCTGATTCTGTCAGAGCGTCTGTAACCATATAAATAAATATATATATATAATAAAAATGGATGTTCATAGAAGATAATAATGCCATACAAACCAAGAAACAAATCGACAACATTTAATTGCCAAAGCCAATTATAATTTATGGGGTCATAAGCGAAATTGACCAAATTAGCAAGAACCTGATACTTGGCTTCTGCAAGTGACATGAAATTCGAGGTTAAAATCATTCTTGTCATAAGATACTTTTAATAAAAATTCGAAAACCTTGATCCTTTGTGTCCTGATATTCATTAACTAATTGTTGAAGATAATCGAGCCTAAAATAAGGCTAATATAAATTATTTGTACTTTAATTGCCAAATGTTTTGAACAATTTAAACTTTTTAGACTTTCCTCGGGGTACCAGATTTACCCGTTCGCTTTTCCAACTGACGATGTGTTGAAAACATTGCAAATATCTATTCTTGTGAGATGGTACAGTTATACTTGCTGCCCCAAACTAATATCTCAAAAAACTTTATTATTATTTAAACAAATAATACAGTAATATAATATATAATATATTTACAAAGAGAAGCATGACCAAACTTCTATTTTATTGGTTGAAAACATGCAATTTGCAGATCCCGACTTATTAAATTTGATTGGCTAGTCACACTTATATATATCAAAAAAAAGTTTCGTGCAAGAGACCTGTGTAGTAAAGTTTAACTTTATTGTGGGTGGTTATAGTGGTTGTAAGTTTCCAAAGGCGGTTAATCTTCATAACCCGTTATGATCAAAGTTTTAAAGCTTTCCTGTGTCAAATTTCGACATATTAAGTTTTGCCGTGATCAAAATTTTGTCACATCAAGTTTTGTCATGCCAGCTTTCGCCGTTCCAACTTTCGCCGCACCGTGTCAAGTTTCAATGCACCAAACTTTGTAATACCAAGTTTCGCTGTGTCAAGTTTAGCCGTGGTCAAACTAGCGTAGTATGATCAATATAACGAGATATATTTAGACAATAGATAGACGATATTATTAACAGTTATTAATACTTTATTTTAATTAATTAGATTTTTATATCACAATTTATTTCCACTAATTATATAAAATGAAACCCAATATTTTGAGTCTTGTTTATTGTTAATTGTATAAAGACCAATGTTAGATTTTATGTAATTACTGAGCTGATTTTTTGATAAATGCTATAAAATCGAATATTGCAAAGGTATTCATATCTTAAAATAGAAGATAACTTCGTTATTTTTATTATTGTAAAATTATAAAGGTTGATAACGGTTAATTAAAAAAAAAATTAAAAAAAAAATTAAAAAACATTTAGAAAACAAAAAAATTTGAATCCAAGATAAAATAATAATTGTTTAGGTAGTATCCCTTAGATTGTAAACCAACGTGAGCAAATTTGATTGTATTTTTACATTTTTTTGATTCTAATTTATTTTTTTAAGGGTAGAGTTCAATGTAGATCATTTTCATATGACTTTGATGGTAAATTTTTTTATTTTTAATATTTTAAAAAATTTTATTAAGTTAATTATTTTAGATTATTAAGTAAAGTTTGTAGAAT